TGTCCCATTTGGAAAGAGGTCCTTCCCAGCCAGGTCTGAGCTCCCAGCCAGCTGCAGGACCTGCATGTTCCTGGCAGTGTGGGTCCTTTGCTGGCCAACAGTAACACCTACACTTCTTCTTCATGTGCAGCCTGCTGGCCCCCAAACTTTCTCCATTTGCAGTGTGACAGAGAGGGATTTTTACTTTTCCTTACTGTCCTTATTACTGTACACAACTCATCTCTCTTCCTCCTTCTCCTTTTGCTTTGTCCATTTAATAAGGGCTTTGGCTTTTCTGAGTGTGATGAAAGCTCCCCATTGACTCCCAACAGAAAATATTGTCAAGTGTTATCTGATATCTCTACAAGAGTAATTTTTTGGATGACATCCTTCCAAAACATACGACATCTGCCCTGTCTACTAACAAGCTGTGTCTGGTCCCACGATTGCCTAAGCTCCTTTCTTTCAGGACAGGAGCATTTGTCTGCAAAGGCAAGGAAGCTAGAAAAGTGGATAAAAATGCAATCTAAAGGCATGTCTGGCTTAAGAAATCTCTGTTCCAAAGACCAATGGAGCCTTAGAGGTTATTTGGAGGGAAATCCCATGTTACTGTGCTCTGCTAATTCCCTTCCCTGGGCATCCCATTGCCTACTGTCAGAAAAGGACTGTGGTGTCCATAGTTGTTTGGTAGGAGACAGTGCAATTGCATAGCACAGTGAGGTTGACTCACTGTCAGACTGATGTTTCCCTGGCTATGCAGTATTTGTTGTTAGTACTGTTGGAGCCTTTCTGATTTGATAGTCCTTGACAAATTGCAGAAAATGGGAATTCAGGTGAAAATTTGCTAGGGATCAAGTGGGTTTCCCTTTTCAGGCTGCCACATTACAGTGAGGAAAGACAAGGCATTAGTAGCCAAATGTCTTGAGTGCTCAGTGGACTTCAAATACTCAGCAGGTAGATGTAGTTTTTTTCTATTACTCTTTGAAAGTCCTCCTCACTGACACAGGACCTTAACTTGCTCTTTACATTTGTAGCGTGGGGACACTCAAAGTAATTGGCCTCCTACTGGGTGCCTTGTTTCCCAGCATAAAGAGCAGTAAGGCTCAGTTCTATGTGCCACATTTCTGTTGTTAAAATTGTGTCATTGGCAAAGAAGTTGGGTTAGCTGACATGTTTCATAGACTTGTCTGTTCTCAGTTTCCCCTCTTATGCCAGAGGGGTTTTCTTCATTTTCCCTATTGTGCTGGATGCACAAACCCCACAATGTTCCCCATGAACTGCTTGGTCCTCCTTTCATTTGCATGAAGAAAAACTCTAAAATCAGTGTTTTGATAAGTAAGCATTGAGGTGCTCTTGATCTGACCCTGTAATTTTGCTCTTGCAATGGACTTAAGTGTGCAGTGCAAACAGCTGTTGACTCATGGCAGATGCCAATGCATTGCCTGAATCACAGAGCTGCTGGGTGCACTGTGACATTCTGGACTGGTCTCTGGCAGACCCAACGTTAATCAGGAGTGCTGCAAACTGCTCTGTTAGTTCGTTCAGAAACTAATCTTTTGCTTTTGTGCTGGACTCCACTGGCAAGGCTTTGGTTTAGCAGGCAGGGAAGAGATGACACATGACAGAGGAAAGCTATAAACCAGTGGTCATTTGGAAATTATTGACTTTTTATTTTCTGTGCTTGTTTGCTGATCATGCAGAGATTTCTTTGCAAATAATTGGATACCCTTAAACAAAGCTCATGTTGATTGTGTGTTTTGTTTGTTTTCTGATCAATGCACCTTGTAAGATGTGCTGATTTTCATTTGGTACGATATACAGAAGGAGGTCATTATGAGATAAGGAACTGTTAGTACACAGTGCAAGACTTGAGGTTTCTCAACACTATTTTACAATGCTCTTTGCTTTTTGAGTCTTGTAGTCAGATTTCTCACTGAGCTCCTTGAAGGAATTGATCTCTTGTGCAGCTTTGGAGAGATCAAAAGTGGAGATGATGTACATAGGTTTTGTGTTTGTTTGCCTGTTTGTTTTTGGTTTACCACTGATGGATGTTACTAAAGACCTCAGCAACGGTCAAACCTTGTTTAACTGACTAGGATTTTTGCTGGAAGAGCCAGGATTTTGCCTTGTAATAGTCACTCAAAGTTAGTTTAAGTCTGTTCTTATAAATATACTAAGATGCAATAAAGGCACCACAACTGTCCCACTATTAAAAATATAGTTATTAGTTCAATTTCCAAGTGAATTATGGCTGGAAGAAGTATGATCCAACATAGGATTATATTACAACTTTTTCATTCCGCAGTGGTATCAGAATCCAAACTGTGCCTCTAGTTGGTTTATTAATTTGTTTTTCTGAACATTTGCAGAATTGTAATATCTTAGTTTTGCCAAAATCAGACCTCAGTTTGGCAGGCACTTCTTTTATCAATTCCAGTTGTTCTTCCACAACCCTTTGAGGATTTTCTTTTTCGTGTAGTCAATACTCTTATGTACTCCATCATGCACTCAATTAGAGGACATGTCAAATACATCTGTGTTTAAACACAAATTATATTACTTCGCTCTTATTTTTGGCCTAGACTAGGTTTTGCTCTACATTTAGTATTTTGGAATGATGAATGCTTGCAGTACAATAGAGCATCTAAATGGTAGTGGTTTGTGTTATGATTACAGTGTTGTCATGGTAATATAATTTTTGCAAATGAAAAGCCAGGGTTCACATGTGTAGCTCTTACAAAATCTGGGAGGCCTGGGATGGGTCAATTAGTCATACATTTTATAGCATCCCACATACAATAAGCTTTCTAAAGTCCTAGCAATGCATAGTATTAAGTAGAATGAGCTGGGAACTCTTAAGAAAGTCCTATTGCAAAAAGAAAGGCAAATGTACTAGTTGGATTTAAAAATACCCCCTCTTTCTTGTTCAAGAGGACTGTCCTTTTCCACCTCACCTAACATGTCAGCTCATTTGAGCCAGCCAAGCCATGTCAGCACATCACCCGTGTACTATGTGGTTTTTATGGAGAATGGCATACCAAAGTGGGAAGTTATGTGTTCTACCTTCTGAACGATCTTCAGATGTGCAGTGGGATAAAGAAAACGCTATTTAAAAGACACTTATTGGGAAAGTACATTTCTGAAAGTAATGATTCAAGTACAGCTTAAAAAGTACACTTAGTTTACACTGACAGAGCATCCAGTATTGTTCCAAGGTCTGACAAAGCAGCTCAGTTTCATGGCAAAAGCAGCTGATGAACAGGGCAAGGTGCTGGCTCTCTGTTGTGGTTGCAATTTGCTTCCCTTGGCCATTAGGCTTTGCCCTTCCCCACACTGGATCAATCTCCACTGGCCAAGAGCTGCAATTCCAACATGGGCATGGACTCCATCAGTAACTATATCCAGACTGGAAGCAATGGTGTAAACTGGTGTCAGGGTGACATAGGAATAATAATACATAGTGCTCAACACAATCTCAGTTCTGTCATTAAAATACCCATATTTTTATCTTCTGTTATATCTTTTTTTGCTATATCATAGATCTCATTAAACGCAGAAATCACATTTATTCTAAACATGAACTTTAGCTATTTTCTTGATCCAGTAAAATCTGTTTTTGTAGTGTAAATATCTTGTTATTGAGAACAAATTTGTAATGTAAATGAGATGTTTAGTCAAGTGTCTGAAAAAGTTGGGGAAAAATTTGCTCAAGCTTTTAATAAATAACTTGTAATGCAAATGAGATGTTTAGTCAAGTGCCTGAAAAAGTTGGGGGAAAATTTGCTCAAGCTTTTAATAAATAATTCTTGATGCTTTTTTTTCCCTGCACATGTGCAGTCTATGAGTCTGATAGAGATTGGGAACCCTTCTCAAAGTCTGGAGAATGTGTGTCGCTGGGCCTACTTGCAACAGAAACCTGACACTGGGCACGCAGAGTACCACGACCATGCTATCTTTCTCACAAGGCAGGATTTTGGTCCATCAGGCATGCAGGGTAAGATGTATACCCAGGTTTGTTTTGCACTTGCATTTATCACTGAGCAAGTCTAGCCATGCAGAGTTTAATTGTGTATTTTTTACGTAGTTTTGGTCAATGTTTTCTTTCCAAAAAGGTTCTGCACAGGGCTATTTTCAACTGTAATTGCTTCACTTATTATTTTATCCTTTCTACTGATTACTTATTGGATCATTTCTGTGCTCTTACTAAAGCCAAGAAAATGGGATCTGTATGTAAACAGTCCTCAAAATGCCCAAAGACTAAAGAATAGATTTTGTGTTTCAAAAGTTCCAAAGCTGTTGCTGTGCTGCAGCCAAATTGCCAAGAAACACTGTTATGGAGAGGCCTTCAATGGCCAGGCCAAGTGCTGTCCACTTTTTCCTTTTTTCAGGGCTCTGCCTCCTGTGAGATCAGGTTTTTCACCAGAGGAGAGAAATCTCAGAGCCTTCCCATTCCTTTTGGGTTGGCCAGATCTGTTGTCAGCACAGAGCTGTGGCTTGGTTTGCACTTCCCCTGAGGGCTAGAACTGCATGGAGTTCCTCCTGAACACAGCAGCATGTGGTGTCCTTTGCCTCTGTTGTCTTATGCACTTAGAAAAAGCACTTGCAGGCCGGTGCTCGAGGTCAAAAGGGTTCTCTTGGAGAGCTAGGAAGGTTTAATTTGTTCAACAGACTAGTTTCATCTGTTTTGTAGATGAGGGAGCATGTTGTTAAATTTTGGGGGGAGAGGTCTGTTGGGAGGACCACTTGACCTATACCTGTGTCACAGCAGAAGACAGATGTTCCTCCTAGAGCTTCCCACAGCATTGCCTTTCTCTACTTGTTCATTTTCTGAAACACTTGATGTTTGACACAGGCTACGCTCCAGTCACCGGGATGTGTCATCCTGTGCGAAGCTGCACTCTCAACCATGAGGATGGTTTTTCATCTGCATTTGTGGTGGCTCACGAAACTGGACATGTGTGAGTAGAACTGTGGACATCAGTGTTGTACCTTAAAATGTGTTTAGTATAGACAGATACTGATGACATTGGAAAGATGCAACTGATGTTAAGAAATAATATTCAGGGTTAGCTTTGGTTTTAGGTCTCAGCTCTTGCACAGTTTTCTTTCTGATATTAAGTAAGATTTGTATTTTGGGATTTTTCAAATGGAAAAAAAGAACTAATATCAAAATATATTCCAGGGCTGCTGTGAGAGTAGATTGAATGATGTATTATAGTCTCCTGGTGGAAGTCTGAAGTACTTATAATGCTGAAATATGAATTCATTGAGTCAGTGGAATACATGATTCTTGCAAACAATCCGTATTAAATAAGCACATCATCTATATATGTTACTGCTGATAAAGGAAACAATACCATATAGAAATGAGGTGCCAAGATCTGTGGTTGCAACTGGTTTTTTATGTTTCATATAGACAAAATACAAATACTTTACTTACTGATGTGATTAGAACCAATGACTGGGCAGCAGTTGTCAGAGCTTTGGCTTCTCCTAGATCATTTTGTTTTCCCTGTTTGCAGAGAACACCCACTGATTTCCCTTTTTCTCTTTGGTAGAACAGCAGTTCCCAGAAGACTTTTTCTGAACAGTTTAAATCCACTCAGTTTTCCCTAAGAAAGCCTGTAGGCCCCTTCTCTTTTTTTGTATCGGAGTTATTAAAGTCTTTAAAATGAAAAGTGCCAAAATTTATTGAAATCAGTGTAAATGTATCCTGGTTAGACAGGGACATAGATTTGATACCCAGATGGTATTTGATTCCAGAATTTTTTAATTAGGATTAAAAAGAATACAGTGTGAGCTTGAAAAGAGATACCACTGAAGAATGTTTGTAATCCCTTCAATCACATTCAGCCCCAAACTGTTAATTTCATTTAAATATGAACAGATATTGCCCATGTTAGTCCAAAAGTGCTCATTTAAAAATGCAATGTAAGTTCCTAACAAAGGAAAGGAGAAAACATAATCATAATAAAGCCGAAGAGAAATTTTAAAATATCAGTAACTTGGGGTAATTTTCTAGAAAACATCCGACACTTTCCAGGCTGTTTCACATTTAAACAATGTGGGATTGCTCCTGGGCAATAGCAGCAGCTTGTCTGAACTAGCTCTCAGTGTGGCATCTTTCTGTTTTCCCATGCAAAGGACTTGCCTGCAGTTGCAAAACACTTCAAATTAAGCTAAGGCGAGATTTTTGTAGACGTTAAATAAATTCCCAAATAGCTCTACATTGGAGCATGAGTGAATTTATGTTCATACTCCTGGAGAGTGGACTAGCTCAATAATCCAGAAATGGATTCATTTAGCTGTAATCATTCACAAAGTGCATGTGCACAGGAGTCAAAAAAAGATTGGAGACAGGTGGGGGTTGGTCTCTTCTCCCAGGCAACCAGCAGTAGGACAAGAGGGCACAGACTCAAGCTCTGCCAGGGGAGGTTTAGGTTGGATATTAGGAAGAGATTTTTTACAGGGAGAGTGATCAGGCATTGGAATGTGCTGCCCAGGGAGGTGGTGGATTCACCATCCCTTTAGGTTTTCAAAATCAGACTGCATGTGGCACTTAGTGTCATGGTCTAGTAACCACTGTAGGGTTGGACTGAGTGATCTTGGAAGTCTTTTCCAACCAGGTTGATTCTATGATTCTATGTGGACAAGGGTCATGTGACTTCCAAACCTTGTTGCCATCAACCACTGGCAACACTTGGGCTGTAGAAGCATTTGGGTACTAAGAGTTAAGCTGCGACGTAACTGTGCTGTGTCTCTTCTGTGCGGGGCAGTTTGGGCATGGAGCACGATGGCCAAGGGAACAGATGTGGGGATGAAGTCCGTCTGGGGAGCATCATGGCCCCCCTTGTGCAAGCTGCATTCCATCGCTTCCACTGGTCTCGCTGCAGCCAGCAAGAGCTGAACAGATACCTCCAGTGAGTAGCTGTTACGTAGTCTCTCCCCTTCGATTGGAAAGCATGTAAGAACAATTCTACATCTAGCAGTTCCCCTATCTAATGTGTTATCCTTTTGTTAGCTACTCAAATGGGGTTAAAAAAAAAAGCACAGAGTCCTCTCCATCCTGTTGGGAATGAGGTTATTTCCTACTAATTGTGACTTCTCAATTGGTTTGATTTCAGTCCATTTTAAATCGTTCTCATTTCATTTCCATCTGTTCATCTTCTGGACACTGATAGTGTATATATTGCCCTCTCAGGGGTGATGAGATGACACTATTACAAATCTAATGTCTACCTTTCCTCCCTCCCTAATGTAACCTCTGGTTGGGGAAGTGCCTTTCCTACCCAGCAGCATCTATCTTACAGATACCACACTTGCCTTCGAGGGTTATTTGTTGCTTACGATACCTATCAATGATAAGATGGTGCTGCCTAAAGGAAAATCTGCCCTTTAAGTGCTCAGGGCATTGATATCTTTAAAAGATATCCAAACAGAGAAGGTTCTAGAATTAGTTCTTCAGTTGTTAATTTTCCTTTAAGTACCCTAAATGCAAAAGCTTTTTAAAAGGCTCCATCCATGTCCCTTGTCTTCCCTTTGGACCTGATACTTTGGGCACTAGACCTGTGCCGGAGTTTATGACCCATGGTTTTGCTCCTTACAGAAAAAAATTCTTCTCCTTGTTGTTATGTGCAAGTTATACAGAAAAAAATATGAAGAAACTACTAGCATAATCAGCAAAAGCTGAAAATGAGTAGGAAAAAAATGCAGCAAATTACATGAAGTAAACATGGGTTAGTCATTTTGTCAATATTTTTATTATCTTAGATATCTTAGGTGTGGCAATAAGGAATAAAAATATTGTGAGGGAAGTGTGATTGTTTCTATTAGCAAAATCCTCCAGAGCTTTAGCCATAAAATAAAAATCATCTGGCCTAGAGGGCTGCTTTGCATTCTTTTCAATACAACTATTTTTAAAATGTCTTATAACAAAGCAGAATGATGGTTTGCTTTGAAGTAAATCTAACCTCAGAATTCTGCTTTCAGCTATTGGTATCTTCAAGGCAACCTTAATGATTGCCAGGATAGACTTGTGTATGGTGTCCTCATGTCTGTTAAATAACTCGGAGACATTTCAGAGATCCTGTGGACTGTGTTGCCCTTGTGAATTAACCAGTGCTTATACCATGTTAACCATTTAGTGATACTGACATCAGTCCCCTGTGACTTGGTCAGATGTAATTCTTGTACAATACAGGCTGTCTTTACCTCTCAGGAAGAGATGAGAAATTTCTTCATTCATCACACAGAAAGAAAACTTAGTACGAAGTATGGATGGAGCTGAAAGCTATCAGGAGAAAGTGAGAGGGAACAAACCTGAGTGGTTAATGCAGTTAGCAAAGTACTTGTCTGTGAGTGAGTTGCTGCTTCTCAGTGAGGACGTGGGGAAACCACAAGCTCAGTGGTATTCTGGGATGTTACCCTGGCCTCTGCTTTTGAAACTTCACTTGAAAGACAGTTACAGGCAAGCAAGAAATTCCACAAATGGAAAATTAATTAAACTTTCTTTTCTTCTTGGTCTCAAGTGGATTCTTCTTTTGATTCCTTTCACATAAGGAGCCTGGAGACTGATAGGAATTTACCTGCAAGCTAAATGGAAATTACAATGGAAGGGCTTCAGAAAAAAACCAAACCCACCATAGAATCCTTTAAAGGTGGATACAGCACGATAAAGTGAATGTGAGCGTAATTGCAATATTAGCTGCTCTTCACAACCAGTGTCTGAGACACTGTAGGCTCTATTTTGTTTGGAACAAAAAGGCAATGAAACCACAAACACTGTGCAAGTCTCACAGCCCCATCTGTTACTGTAATTTTTGCCTGTTGCAGTTCCTACGATTGTCTGCGTGACGATCCCTTCGAACATGACTGGCCTTCCCTTCCACAGCTGCCAGGAATTCACTACTCCATGAATGAGCAGTGCCGATTTGATTTTGGTTTGGGCTACATGATGTGCACAGCTGTGAGTACTTAACTTTGGCTTCTGCTATTTCTCATCCAGGAGTGTTGTAAGTGTCTCTGAAATGTCCTTAATAGGGACAGAGAAGTGAAGCCCCCGAGGAAAGAAGTTGTGCCCACTTAGCTGTAAGCAAGGATTAACAAGTCAATGTTGACAAATATGTCATTTTAAATATCTCTTGTATTTATTTTTTTTAAACTAGAGTTACAGAAATAATTATTCTGTAGTTTCATGAATATCTGTGGACTTGAAGCAAACAAACTTGGTGCATTATTGAGCCTCTTCTTGCTGGCAGCTAGTTATTTTGCTACAAAACTCCCACCCAGATGCGAAGGAGATGGATTTGCTGTCTTATCTTGTAGTGCTAACACAGGGCAGCATGCTTTTATCATCCAATTTTATGGAAAGTGTGATGCATTTTGATACCTAGCAAGAGAAAATAAGCATGACAGTGAGTAAAGCAACTCGCAAGGACTCTTGATGACATGGTTGGCTCTCTTGTGTGAGGGAAATAAGAGGCAAAGTCTAAATTTAAAGCAAGGCAAGATTAGTGCAATTCTCAGTGGGTTGGCCTTAGAAAACAGACTTCTGCAGCAGAGCTGTGCCTCCCACCTCCAGCTCCTTAAGTGGCGAAAATATTAAATGGAACTAGATGTTTTCAGCTGGTGTGGCAGCTGCTGACACGTAACATTTCTGCTTTCATTCCCATCTGCAGGATTATGTGTGCCGAGCAGTGTCTCTAGATAATGGATGAGAACCTTTAGAGCAACACAGTTCCCACTGATGCTGCCTTGGAAGAATGTCCCAGCCAAAGAGGGTCTTTTCTTACAGCCATTCTCCAGAGCTCAGAACATGGAGACTTTCTAGTCTTCTTTGTTCAGAATAGCCAAAAGATGTCCAGACATCATGTTTTAGTGTGTTTTGTGATGGGTGGTTCTCATCCTCTCCTATACAAGCCTTTTTATTGTAGGTAAAATGCCAATTTATCTATCAGATCAGGGTCCTGATCTCAGATTTCCATCCTCCTAAGAAGGTCATTGTAACAGCTGAGCTACAGTCTGAGCAGCTCATTTCCATCTCCCATGGCTGCTCAATGACTTTTTGCTTTGTTTGCCAAATGAAGCAGCACCATTTTGAGAAGCTGTAAGAAAACTCAGCATGTATCTTACTGCCTGGGAAAGCTGTTTTCCCCCTTGCCCAGTCAGCCTTTGGTCACTAGTGTAAAACTATTTTTGCATGACTTTATTACATTTCATGCAGGTGAGGGTCTCACCTCAGAGTCACTGATGATTCTGTATGAAAGTTCAAACATGCTCAATCCACAGTCATCACAGTGTTCCTCAGGAATCAGTGCTATCAGCTGGTATTTTACACCTAGGAAAGGAAAACCCTCCAAGCTGGAGCTTCTCTTGCAGTTCCCAGTGGGAGTTCTGTCGAAGTGTCATCCCCTGATTTTTCTTGTCTTTCAGTTCCGTACATTTGATCCCTGCAAACAGCTGTGGTGTAGCCACCCTGAGAATCCCTATTTCTGCAAAACTAAGAAAGGGCCTCCGCTGGACGGGACCATGTGTGCACCAGGAAAGGTGAGAGTGGGTGCTGTGTGTACCCACACACACGTGTGGGTGTCCATGTGTGTTTGTGTGCAGGTGGGGATGTTCTCCTTAACATCAAGGGGAACAAGAGGAAAACTTGTTTTGAAGACCTGAAGTTTGCTAAGATGTGGGGCAAACCCTTGAGTGCAAATAAGGTGTTGGGCAGCACGAGGGGACAAGGCTGGGCCAAGGGCTGGGTGTCTTGCTTGGCTGCTCTGTGACCATCAAACCCTGTTCTTGGGCAAGTCATGCAGATTGCCCTGGGCTTCTTGGCAAGTCTTGGTGGCAAATTCAAAAATAGGGAAATTTCCACTCGCCTATGTCTTTTTTGAGGTCAGGAGGTTGTGCTTGTGTCAGTGATGTTGTCATGGTGCTGACTGGACTCCCTGGTGTGGGGGTGCAGAGAGCAGCGAGGGCCTGGAGATGACAGCCAAGATAAGGCCACTGTAGTTTCCCAGAGGGATAGGAGGGATGTGGGAGTTGAGTGCCAGCTAGAGAGAGCCAACATGACAGCAGAGAGGGACTGTGAGGAGAGAAGAGTGATTTGTGGAGGTGGATTTGCTGGTTTGATGGTAGTCTAGGGAGGCACAAGGGGCTATGGAGGGACAGTGTGAGGTGGCAAAGGCTCAGACAGCTCTAACTGCTTAGCCACCACACTGGACTTGCTTCAGGTCTCAGTTATCCTCCATGGAGATCACACTATGCTCATAGTGGATCTGAACTCCAAGTCCTTTGAAGTCTACTGAAAAAAATCTGGCTTCCCTGGGCTTTGGATGCAGTGACTGAGGGGGAGAGGAAGATGTCGCTACTTGGAAAGATTTATTTTTTTTATAACCCAATGGATGATATCATTTATGTGATAAATGAACCGTATTAGCAGCTGCTGTTATGGTTTGAAATGTCTTTTTTATGAAAACGTTATGTTAAATTAATTTCCCAGCAAGTCACGCTCTATATAAACCACTCCCTTCTGGTTTTCTCTTCTTTAAATTATTCCTGTTATAACAGCTTTGTTTCTTATTTAAAAAAAAATATTTTAAGTTACAATCCAAAAATCTTAGGCAGATTCTTTGGATTCACTTTTCTGTATCTTGATTTTCGCATTAAAAATATTCACAAACTTCCCCTGAAAAAAACAGTTATATTCCATTTTGTTGCATCACCCTCTTTCCTGAGCCATTCATTCACATTAGTATTTGAACAGAAACGAGGAGAAAAAAGGAATTTGTATCCCTACAGTTAAGGATCTGTCAGTGCTTCCATTATAAACAGTTTGTCAGGATATTATGCAACTCAGCTGTAAAAATTTTCTTTGGACTGGAACTTGGGATCCAAGGCTTCAGCAAGCTGTGCAGACAGCCAGGCTTTTGAGCTGAGTGGAGATGCAAGACAGTATGTGCACATTCTGAAGTTTCAGTAGATGATGGGACTATGTTTTATTCTTAAGGGAGCTGTCCCAGTTTTTTTGATAAATAAACTTGCTGCCACCTTCCAGAGGAACCTGAGAAAATGTTGTAAAATGAAAACCATTTTGTTAGATAAGGCTCAGCAGTCTGAACTAAACACTTGTTTTTAAACCAGCATGAGTTAGGAAGGTTATACAACTGACTTTGTGTGACTGAGCTCAGCATTTGACCAGTGTATTTATTAGTTGTTGGTGTTTTTAATATGGACACATCAGATCAATGTTTTTCCATCTGTTTCTTTCCTTTTCATCTCTGCCCTTTATTTTGCCTTTCCCTGCTCACTCTCTTCACCAATTTGGGCAATACCAGAGGCTCTTACCTAAAAGCACAGGGCTATAAAATTCATTTATTGCCCAGAGGTGGGACTCAGTTGCAGTGGGGCAGCCTCCTTTCAGGTACATCTCCCATGATACCTCATCAGCACATGAGGAAGAGGAAAAATAATTTCAAACTTGATCCACTATTTTCTTTGGAATAACGCCAGAAAAGAGAAGAACAGAAACACAAGCAATAAAAGACGTTGATTCAAAAAGATCCGTTTGTTTCCCACTTTAGAGACTTGCAGCTTTTGTGATTTCATACCACTAATTCCCAGGGCCTATTTTAAGCTCAACCCAATCACAACACTGCTGATGTGTCAAAGAAACATCCTGGCTTTGCCCCAGCTGAGGGGAACAGATGCCAGGAATGCAAGTGGTGTTGGGGAGACGAACGCAGCGTATGGCGCGTGGATGTTGTCACCTAAGGCTGGTGTTCAGATAACTGATAACTGCTCCCAACTTAGCAGATGCTATTGAGGAGAATCCAGTCCAGCTGTCTCCTTCCTAACAGATGAGCAAGGGGTGAGAACACCCATATGGGAGATACGAGATCGACAGCACTTTTTTGGCAAACACATTGATATGGCCGTGTCTCTGCACACCCAGGCTGTGTCCTGCACCCAGGCACTGACCCTTAGAAAGGGAAAATCAGACTTTATAATACTGTCTATATATGTGTATACATACAAGAGTCTATTTAAGTAAATATATGTAAATGTATGTAACCTCTTCTGCGCAGGTGGTTATTTGAAATAAGTTGCCAAAAGAGTGAGGTTCAGCCATTTCAAAAACTTATTAAAAAGTCTCTCTGTGCAAATGGAGATACTGAACAACCTTTCTATTGGCAGCTAATAATTTTTGGAGTTTAAAGCTAAAAAAATTAAAATATTCTCTTGGAGCTTCCCAGCCAAAGAAGAAAACTACTATTTTGACAGAATCCTAAAGGAAATAGAATATTTTATATTGCTCCCAGCTTGATTTTTAAAAAAACTAGATAGAGTTTTCAATAGCAAGGGGGAATATTCTATCAATTTTGTGAAGCTTTGAAGATGCAACAGCTTGCAATGGTCCCATTAGCTTCCATGAAATAACTTCGGTGTGTAAAGTTAAGCACATGGAGGGTCAGAGTCTTAATGTGGAGTCAAAGACACTCCATAAATTGCTATAGTAAACCACACAGATGAGGCAAAACTGTGCAAAGCTTAACTCTGCCTGGCATTCTGTGTATTGAAAGAAAACATATGCTTTCAGCTGATAATTTATTTACTTGTGTACGATTCTGTCAGTTCCACCATTAGCCTCAGGCTTCTGAATCCAGGCAACCTCCAGAAATATATCATCAGTTGTTGTTGTTCCATTTTTTCAAAATATTACTCTTTAGGGGGAGACATTTATATTGGCTGAAGTAGCTAACTGCTCTCCACAGGGTGGAAATAAAACCCAAAGTCATTCATGCAAGGCAATCACATGCTCGAGTCCTTCTCTTGCAGTGGCTAACACCAAGGTTTGTACCACCTGAGCCTCCTTTTTTTTCATTTCTTGGAGAGAGGTAAGATCCTGGTACCTGCTCCTGCCAGCCCAGCTGATGTTGCTCTTGGATTTGGCTTACATGCCAAGGATCCAGTACAAACCTTGCAGGTCTTCTCTTTGCTTGCACTGTGCTAATGAGATGATCTGAGTCAAACTTGGAATGACTTTTTTACTCTGTCAGGAAAGGAAGGGAATGATTAAATATTGAAATAAATAGATATTATTGAGAAGAAAAATGGACCAAGAAAAAAGGTTTCTGAAAACACTAATGTGTACTCAAAGCAATCCAGATAATTTCCCACTGAGAAAGCTGACCTCAGCTTCTCTTGGAGACAGGACACAGATGGGTGAGTGTGTGCTGTGTTAGTCACCACAGAAACAGGGAGAATACTTGATTCTCCACTGAAGAAATTTTTACTGGCTCAGAGTAGTCCTTAGTGTTAGAGCTTTCAGTTCATGCCTTGCAACTAATTATCCTCCAACAGATGGAACAGAGCAGGCTAGCCTGTGTGTGCTGGGGAATACAAATAAATAAGTCACCCTCTCCTGATAGGATCTGAAGAGAATGGGGAGAACTAAGGGCCACCAGCCATGGGGCAGTGTGAGGGGTTACCTGGTGGATAACTGGGGTGTCAAGTGAGGACATAGGAGAGCTGCCCAATGCTGCCCAATATAAAATAGTTAGAGATACCCAGGGAAGATCTTCAAGTCTTTTCTTGGAAAATTGACTTGCAGATGTGTTAAGCCCACAGGAACACACTGGCTCTTTTTTTGGCATCCACAGCAGTTGTTTCAAAGAACTGCTGAAAACAGCAATGGAATGTTTTACTGCAAGAAATTTAAGCTTCCTCTCCTGGAAATTGCACTTGTTTTGGACTGTCCTGTTTGCCAGAGAATGAGGCGAGACTGCAAGTCATCTTGTCTTCCACTAAGAAAATAATTTGCATTCACCCACTTCTTTTTCTCATTTTAAAAAAATAATAAATTGTTTTGATATTCTTCACTCTTTAAGTGAAATCCCCTGTTTGTGAAGGGAATAGTGCTTGAAATTGGCTTTTTTTCCACCTCATTATGTGGTTACTGTAGTAGCAATAGGAAGGGTTGGCTTTAACTTCCTTTATAACAATGGAGATGACTATGTCTCTGGTTTTACCTTCTCACTCATTTTCTTGCATGGGTCTGCACAGAGTAGGACACATTTGAGAATCAGTTTGTTTTCTGTAGGCTCCTTTCTTCTAATCCCCAAGAAAAGGCAGAGCTGGGGATGAGTCATTTTACACAAATGCTTCTCTCCTAATAGCTCTGCCTCAGCTTCCCAACAATCAGCATCTGACCAGCTTCTCCAGTAAAGATCAGTGCTGCTCTTTCCTTTACACAGCATGTTTGCCTCCCAGACCAGTCTCAGTGCCAGACAGGGGGTTTATTAGTGGCTGTTGCAAACCCACATCCCACTCTTCCTGGCAAAAACAGGGAAAAGAGATTGGGAAACACAACATCATCACATGCCTCTCGCTCTCCTCCACGAGTTCAAGCACTGGTTTCCAGATCATCACAAAATGAGCATAGGCTATATGGCTCTTGACATGGATTTGGTGACTGCTGTGGAACTTACACCTGAGGGTGCAGCACCCTGATAAAAGGCTGTGTGAGCAAGCACAGATCAGGAGCTGTCACTTCACATCTGCTTCCAAGCCCAGCTGAAATTTGTATTGACAAGCTGATGCATTGCCAGCTTCCCCCTCATCTCTGAATGGTCCCATGGCTCACAGGGCCCCACAACTCGAACTGTTTGTTCCAACAAACCTCTATAAGCCATAAGTAAACGGTCCCTGAAGGGTACAGCCCTGATTTTCAAAACCAAAAAAAGCAAAGGATGTATTAGCATTTTGCATTTCTTTCATGCTTTGCTGAATTATCTCTTGTTCTGTCAAACAGCTAAGAAAAATCTGCCCATTACAGCTCCAGAGCAGGATTGGTATAATTGGCTTTGTGGTAACTCATCTATTTCATAGGTTTTGACTTTGAATATCTGAAGTCATGAGAAAGAAAAAAAAATACTTCAAACCTAATTTCTACTCTCTCTTCTACTCCTTGTCCAACCCAATCAGCACCAAAATAAATTGCATGAATAAAGAGCCAGTCACTGAGCAGATTAGCGAATCAGTAAGCTCTGCCTTGTCACCATTTCACTAATGATTCTCTCTTTAAATTCAGCATTATTAATGATTATCCATCACTTTTAAATTTGCCTTCCAGATCACTAATCGCTCTATGCTGAAGGAGGCTCTGCTGTTATATATCTTCTGATTTTGTTTTTGCTGGCAGCATGCATTTAGCCATATGCTTGGCTTGTGCAGCCTGCCAAATTCCTGCGTTCCAGGGCTTGTTAAGCTGTGTAAAATGTTGTTGTTGACTTGAATGTTAAGGAAAGTAAGTGACTGATTTCACTTGTTGTTGCAGCCATCTGTGCTCCTGAGCCAGAGCTCCAATCCCGACAGGAACCGTTAGCACAGACAAACTGCGACAGTCTCAGGCAAAGTCATTTGCTGGGCTGGAATATATTTTCCAGCACCCACACTTCATCAGTAGCCTTTTATGAAAGCAAAGACAGTACTAGAAAGGGCCAGAACCTGTGATCCTTGAGAAGAATTCATTCTGACTTCTGTGAAGAAAAAAATTCTTTGATTAGGGACTGGAGAAATTGGTGGGAAGGCATTGATGGTTTTCTTTAACTAGAGGAGACAGTACAGACTATCAGTACTGGAGCCATGAAAGCTTTTAAAGAAGTGTATAAAAACGTTATGGGTTTGGGGAGATGCAGAAAATTCTGTGTTTAAACTGCTGTAGAATAACTGTATTGAAAACCAGGTAAAAGAAAAGAGAAGGTGTGATAGGGCGTGATGAGTTGTGCAGCACTGGGACTGTCCAGGGCTGCTCCCTGAGGAACACTTCCTGGTATTTTGATCAGGTTTACTATGGGCTAGAGTTCTTTTGTCCCTGCTAGAGAGATGAAGCCCACCTGACTCTAGTAGTCTTGGCAACACAGAATATGCCCCATGGTCGAAAAAGCCAAAATTCTGCCAGTAGCACCAATCCTTTAGCCACCTATTGATAAGGTGGCTTTTCCTCCTCCTCTCCTCATCCATCCCTTCTACTACAGGAACTGAGGCAAACACCACCTGTGCTCCTGTCCCACTAACCAGTCTGCCCAGTTTATTGCAATCCTTTTTAATTACCCTGATGCCTCTTTCATTGATATCACTGCCAGCCTGGACTATGAAAATGCTATGAAAGCTCCAGGGAGACTGCAAGAGGTTTTCTTTAATAGCCTGATGTCTAAATTGTGAACTGGCTTTAATTTCATGCCACTGTGCTGCTCACATTTCTTGCAGGAGGATGATGTGGAGTTGGGAGTGGCTGGGCAGGATGGTGCTGGGCCAGAGCTCTTGCAGGTGCTGCCTGCAGCGGCTGCAGGCAATGGCAAAGGCAGAATGGTACCATTAGCCTCCAGGATTTGGGATTCTGCCATTTCCCTTAATGAATCTGTATTAGTTCTGCTGAAATCCCTGCTGCAGACAGGTGCTGAGGGAGTGTAACACTGAGAGCAGTCGAACAAACTTGGTAAGCTTGAATCCTGCACACATATATGTACATAGTGAGTGTGTAAATTTCTAAAATCTGAGTGAGTTTGGCATCATGGGCACAATCTGAGAGCAAGTCTTGCTACTTTCTGCTCCAGAGGTGAAAAAAAAAAATAAATCCAGAATTTGTGCCTAAAATTAAATCTGTGGTACCACAGTTTCTCATAGGATATAAATTAATCATAAATTGTTTTGACATCTGATTTTCTCTTTCAGCATTGCTTTAAAGGTCACTGCATCTGGCTCACACCAGATATACTGAAGCAGGATGGACACTGGGGGGCATGGAGTAAGTTTGGCTCTTGTTCTCGCACCTGTGGCACTGGGGTGAAGTACAGGACACGCCAGTGTGACAACCCACAGTAAGTGCACAACCCCCAGGCACCTTACTGATGTGCAGTGCATGGATGGTGAGAATCCTTGCGACGTTCTCACTGCAGCAGTGCAGTAAAAGATGTTGAGTGGTGCTTGTTCAATCTGACCTATAGTATATGTTGTCAGAAATTCTACTTTGGGCCCTTAGCTAATCATGAATCATCTTTATTTCTCAGTTTATCCATCCACTAAACTGGTTTTGCAGTTCTTGAAAGTGCTAATGCACTACTGTTTAAAGCAGAAGCAAAAGTTTAAGGCCCTATCTATGTCTTGTTCTAATATGTGAGTATGAAATAATGGCAAACCTTTGAAAAAGGTTTTCTTAAATCCACCTCTTAGGATATTTCAACAAGAAGGTCTTAAAATATTTCCAAACAGTTTTCATTCCAAGTTGGAACAAAGCTCCAGAGATCAGAACCTTCTCCAAAGTTAATTTTAGGAATTTTGAATTGTTTTGCTTCAATAACTTACATATGGGTCATCTAAATAATGTAGAATGATTCAATTCCAGTAACACTGGAAGTAAAGTATATTTAATAAAGATTCTATATACAAATGAGATGAGATGCATAATTGCTATCTTGGAGGGGTATCATAAAGTGTCAAGATTCTAACATCAACAACTGAAACAATTGCTAAAATTAAATGATTTTACTAGACAATATATTTTTAACATTGAATTTACTATAAAATAAATTCAAAAAACTCACAAAATTCAAAACTACAAAGTGCTGATAAAGCAATTGAACTTGACCAGCATTAAAAATCATCTTATCATTGATTTTTTTAAAATCAAGTTTTAGGAAGCAGCATTTTCTAATGGAAATTGTTCTGTTAAGAAAACGTTTGCCAGTTCTCATTTCAGCCTTTATTACACTGGCAACATGAAAGTGACCTTTATAATTGTGGGCACAGTTTCAGTTGTAAAATCTATTTTCATGTAGGAAAAGCCTAATGTACTATTGAAAATGTTGTCTGTGTTTCCTGGGAGAAGGTGCAAACCCAGCTACACATCCTGGGCTCTGCATTGCCAGATCTGACAGGCTCAAGCTCTGCCAGAGCAGGTTTATGTTGGATATTAGGAAGAGATTTTTTTACAGAGAGAGTGCTCAGGCATTGGAATGTGCTGCCCAGGGAGGTGGTGGATTCACCATCCCTGGAGGTTTTCAAGCTGAGACTGGATGTGGCACTTAGTGCCATGGTCTAGTAACCACAGTAGGGTTGGACTCGATGATCTTTGAGGTCTCTTCCAACCTGGTTGAATCTATGATTCTATGATCTGACAGTGATCTGGTGCACATCTGCCTGGGGACATGGCCCTGAGCTGGGCTGTTCTGGTTCTCCTGCTGCCTTAGGGGTGAATGTGAATGAGCTGCTTCATCTGCTTGTGCTTTCCTTTCCTGGCTACACCAAGAAAATGGCTTTTCTTGCCTGTATCAAGTGGTTTGAGCCTCTACTTGCAGAAACTGCTTTTTAAGAGTGAAATAGTGACAGCAGGATTTGAAAGGAAATGTGTGTTTTCCATATCAGAAATACAGCCCCAGGTTCATCAACTGCCTAGTGACATGACTGGGAATTAAACTGCTCCTCAACACCCTTGATAGATGCTTGATTGATGCATTAATGGCAAAGCAAACCGTGGGTTTCTCTCCCCTCTGCAGTCCTGCCAACGGAGGCCGCACGTGTGTGGGGCCTAGCTACGAGTTCCAGCTGTGTAACACACAGGAGTGTCCCAAGGACTTTGAGGATTTCAGAGAGGAGCAGTGTCGGCAGTGGGACCCTTACTTTGAGTACCAGAACACGAAACACCACTGGCTCCCCTATGAACATGTTGATGGTGAGCAGCCCCTTTTTTCCTACGAAAAATAAACCAGTTGCAAATACAAATAAAAACGACATAGGGAGAGGTTAAAAGTTCTTCCAGGGATATCATGGCTCCCAAATCTGTTAGTTTTTATAAAAGTTCTTCTACGGCAATCATGGCTCCCAAATCTGTTAGTTTTTTTGAGGGATCGGTGCATATGATTGTATGAGTGATCCACTTCATGCAACGTACTTGGGTTTTCAGAAAACTTTGGACTCTGTTCCCCAGTGAGAGCTGTTAAATGGAGTTATCAGGAGATAAAAGGGAATGGTTTTGCATGGAAGGATGTGTTCCACAAGGACAGGTGCTGGCAATGTGGGTGCTGCTGGACATGGCAGTGAGCAGGGAAAGGGAACGAACGAGGTGACAATATCTACTCAGGTTACAAAATTACTGAGGCTAATTAAAATAGGGCAGTCCACTGTGAGAGCTGCAGAAGGACCTTGTGACACCAAATGGCAGAAGATTGAAGAGGAATTTGATGCTAATGAATGCCAGTAATTGATATGGGGGTAAAAACTGGTTTGTATGTCTCTGTGTACACAAGGTAGGTTCTGAAGAGAAAGGTTAAGAGTTGGGAATAGCTTTAGGAAAACATCAGTTCAGTGGCTGTCGAGAGAGGGATGGAGAACACTGATCTGCCTTCGTGTCCCTGTGCAGTGTCTGTAAATACTCAGCCAATGCAGCTCAGCTTGTGCACATCTCACTGCTGCCCACGCTACTAAAAAACCCACCACTGAACTCAGAATGGCCAGAATAAAGCAAACATAAACATTGGCTTCTGGCTGAGGAGAGTTTGGATAAACCAGGATGTTTCACCCTGAAAAAGCAAGGATTTAGATTAAAAAGATAGAGTTACAGAACTGTGAGCGGCACGAAGCGGCTGAACATGGAGTGATTATTCAGTTTCTCATACCATAATCCTGGGAACATCAAATAAAATTATCAGGTGGCAGATTTAAAACAAATAAGAGGAAGTACTTTTCCACACAGCATCTAATTATCCTGGAATTGACTACCACAGGAAGCTGCAGATGCCAGAAAATTTTAGAAATGATTTAGAGAAATTTTTGACAGTTCTACAATCCATTAAGAGCTATTAAACACCAAGTTCCAACCATGACTTCGGAAGTCCCCAAGCTGCAGTTTATGAGGAACTTGGAGAAAATTCTGAGGAAAGTATCCAGTTTGTTTTTACATCTTCCTGCAAACACTGCTGGCACTGTTGGAGGCAGGTGTTGGGTTGGATGGGTGCTGGGTCTCAACCAGCATGGTCAGGCTGTTGTTCTGGCATCTCAGCAGAGATCATCTCTTAGAACAAAAACGTTCCTGTTCCTGTTAATACCTTGGCTTAACTGTCAGTGAAAGTGCAGCTGGTTGATTTGGGCCATGGGGGTTGTTGCTGTGCTATTGCCATGTCTGCTATGGCCAGAGAACACACTGAGAAGATGTGTTACCAAACAAAAAGACATAGGGCAATGAGTCTCAACTTGTTGAGTGAGCAGTGTGGGCTGCTTGCTGTTTTTAAACCCTGTCACTTCAGTTGAATGACTTGAGGGCAGGGTTAGCCTGGCAAGAGGCAGGTACTGGGCACCCACCCTGTCCTCAGCCCAGCACCCATCGCTGGGAGGGGAAGGGTCACTTTGGGTGAAACATTTTGCATTCCAGTGAGAGGATACTCTGCCAGAAATTAATAGCAAATTCCTTGTAATTAATTTGCCTGATTTTCTTCCCAAACAGTTTTCAGGGTTCCCTCATTCTTTTCATGCCATTTTGGTCAGCCTGGGATTTTCAAAGGCACAGATACAGCCTCACAGCTTAATTTCATGAAATAGCTGTGCTGGCACAGGGAGGGGGGATGAATGTTGTGGCCTGCAGGACCTTTGCTTCTGCTTTAGCCTTTGGAGCAGTCTGCTGCAAAGACCACTGAAACTAATCAGATGTTTTTCTATTAAATTCAATGGCTTCTGGGTCAGAAAGCAGCACATTGAAGTCTGAGCACTGATCCCTGGGCACTGCTGGTTTCCCATATAACTATGGTCTAACTGCAGACACCTTGAGAGTTACATTTACCTGTGCAGGGAACAGCTTTTGTGTGAAAACAAGGCTGGAGGGTGGCTTATGCTTGAACTCTAAATCTATTTAAAACTCCCTTTTGTAAAGATAAGCGACATACTTTGTGCAGATAATGTAGTTGTGGCTCAAAAGTGACATAAATCCATACACTTCACACACAGCTCAGCTGGATGTGTCTGACACATTGTCTGTGGGATAGGAAGAGACAGGCATGAAAAAAAAAGCCACCAAGCTGGGGTACACTCCTTGAGCCCCATTGTGCCATGGCCTGTCTCCTGCTCCAAACCCTCTGAGCACCATCTCCTCACTGCCTGTGTGAGCAGGGCTGTGCTCACATAACCCTGTGTCATGCATCTGCCAGGACAGCACACAGTGACATTGGCTGTTAGCTCCCAGCCTCAATTAAATCAGAAGGAAACTCATGGGGAGCAGGGAATGGACAGCCACACCATCACATTCATGCTCCTGCACCTCTACTATGCCCAACACCAGTGAACAGAAAGAAAATAGCTATTTGCAATTAAAAGGGTCTAATTTAACAGCACTTGCACATTTACAGTTCCCATGGAGCAGTGGGAGGAGAACCCTCTCTGAAACAAAACCCTTGTATAGAGTTGTTGGCACCCAGTCAGACCTTCTTATATTTTCCTTTAATCAATGCAGTGAGTGCATGGTATGCCTGGGGTGGGGGTGAGTGGTGTGGGTACATACCCAGAGGAGGAATGTGTACATTGTGCACAGTTTTATCTTCTAATATGTATGCAAATACATTAGGTCTGTCATTATTATGACCTTCATTGTCTCCTATTAAGAATTTGCACCAAAAAAAGTAACGTACCTGTTTTAATAGACTAGACCCTACATTTTGAGTGTGACATCTCTGCATGGTTTGGGAGCAGTAACAAAGGTCTCTGATGTACCAATACCCAGGGGCCTCGAGGACATCAACAGCAGTAACAAGGACTGTAGAAAAAGAGGGCAGAGGCCATGAACTGTACAGGGGAAGAACGCAAAGGGCCTGTGAAGATTTATTTCGATTGAACTACTATAATGGAAAGGTCATTATTGTTATAAATGGTGGGAAAAGTGTCCCAGCTTTTAATCATGTTAAAATAGTGGAATTTCTGTTTGTTTCATCTAGCAGAAAGGCCATCTGCTCTTCAGTGCCAAGTAAAGCATAGTGAATTATATTATGGGGCTGGAGACAGCAAGAGAAATGGACAAAATGAAATGCACTACTGGAATACAACTTTGTTCAGCCACTGACTAGTCATTTTCAGCTTTGTTTTTTGTTCTTAGCTCTTTGAAACAGATTAGAGAAAATACCACTTGTCTGGCTGTTTCTCCATGTGTTGGCAGTAAAACCTTGGGGTTTGTCTGAATCTTTTTGACATCTCATCTTGTTTAATGTTATAAATTATCATTAATACAAGTATGACCATGAGGGAAAGTTGACTTCATGGTTAGGAGGAAGTGCTATGGCTCAGCTGTCTGAAGAAATTCGGGATGCCAAGTTCACTCAGTGTCAAACAGCTGCTTTTAATGGCAAAATTACTTTGGCTTTTTTTCAGATTTAAGTGCAGTGCAGTAGAAACCTGCATCTCTCACAGGTAGATGTGCAGCAGAGTGAGGAAACCTCTGCCAGATTGCATCATCTGCCAAGGATTAAAGAGATCCCCCCATCAAAGTCAATGATGTGTTATTTTTAAGTCTGTCTCCTAATGATGACACATGGGTGTTTTATGATTCAGCAGTTTCCAAATGATCATGTAGCCTTTGAAAGGGGATAGGAATGGATGATTTATGGGGTACCATACTGCATCCTGTGATGTATGGAAGGAAGAAAATAGAGCCAACAGGACTGGAAGTGCTGTTCACAACATCAGCAGTTAAACTGTGAGAGCTGACCATGCAAAATTTGGGTCATATTATTTTTCAGCTAAGGAGAGATGCCACCTGTACTGCGAATCAAAGGAAACAGGGGATGTGGTGTATATGAAACGGATGGTTCACGACGGGACTCGCTGCTCCTACAAGGATGCTTACAGCATCTGCGTGCGGGGAGACTGCTTGGTAAGTGTTTGATGGCCTGTTTCAGCACTTAATATTGTGAAAACAATTCAAATTCTACCTTGAGTGTTTCTCCCCCCACAATGACTAAGTATAATAAGGCTTTGGGCAATAAGGAGATTTCGCTGGGATTATTGTCACAATATTATGTGTGATAGTCACTGTTGCCACACACGTGACTCAGTTCCAAAAGCACCTACCTACACAAGTAATATTTCCTGCAGTATTTGAAGATGGACTATTACAATTAGCTTTCAAGAAAAGCGTTTCCTGCTGGGGTTTAGTGGGGGTGGAATGTACAATGAAACAGGAACACGCAGCAGCTTTCAAGGAAAGTGGTGTTAGGATATGGCTGATGTGCATTCACTCTGTGTTTGATCATGCTATTTTTAAAAAATCAATGACAGTTCCTCTAAGTCAGGATCTGCTGCAGGTCATCTTTCAACGGAATTAGAGTCTCTGACTTAGCAAAGCACTGGTGGAGGTGCTTATCCTCGTATAGATGCCTTGATTCTCCTGGAATTTAAGCATCTGCCTAAAGATAAGCTGAGGCTTAAAAGCTTTTCCTTAACTGTGCTGCTTTCCTTCAGTAAGAGGACCACTGTGAAGCATAATATAAAAGTATAATCACCTGATTGACAGCTATTATAGGAGCTGGAAGCATTAAAATCTGTTTAGGTGTTGATCTTCCAGGAAAGAACTACAATGTGAACTGCTTTGCTGAAGCAGAAGTCTGAGGTTTGATATCTGAAGAGAATCATTTGAATTGAAGAGTGGATAAACAAGAATGACTGTTTTTCTCTTTTGTGCACAGAAAGTTGGGTGTGACAGGGTCATAGGTTCCACGAAGCAGGAAGATAAGTGTGGTGTTTGTGGAGGAGATAATTCCCACTGCAAAGTGGTGAAAAGAACATTTTCAAGAGTACCAAAGAAACAAGGTCAGTGCATGCAGTGTGGTTTGTCCTGGGAAATTCAGGGTATTTTTGCTTGATCTCTTCTGTTTCATGGAAAGTACCAGGACAATTACAAATAATTTGCAGCATCATTAATTTCAACAAACAATCTGGACTTACTTCCAGATGTGTCTAGAATTTGAAAATAAGACTTGTGTCCAGTGATCAATTAAAGCTGATGATACCAGGGCCTGTGCATGCATAGAGAAGGGCTTCCCTGCTCCATGCTGGAGAGCTGTGGACTAACTTGTGCTGCTGATGTCAGTCAACTGATCTGTCCAAGTCACTGGAGTGCTGCAATAATATAGCATCATCACTCACTGTCAATCAGGAGATTGTGTGGTCTCTCTGTAGGTGCATATGGCACTCAAAGCCCATTTTACTCTGTTGATAATACTTAAGGCATCTTTCTTCTGACCCAAAGCTGTTTGTCCTTGTTATGTTCCATCATCTGGCACAGAAATAGGGATGGGAATGATGCTGATTAGGTTCAGCTTGTTGTAATACACTCTGCTTTCAGAAAATAATGTTTATTTGAAAACCTAAGACAGACCCTTCCTGTTTGTGGCATCCTAACCCATTACTATCTTTTCAAATAATTCTATATAGGGCACATTAAGATGTTTGAAATTCCTGCGGGTGCGAGACATTTGCTTATACAGGAAACAGATGCCACCAGTCATAATCTTGGTAAGTAACAACTAGGAAAATTTTCAGTCAGAATCATTTTTTTCTGCTGGTTATTTTTGTCTCTGGAACCTGACAATGTCTTTATGCATTTGTTTACCCATTATCCTCCCACACCACATACCTTCTTAAAGTATGTTAAATTAGGAAACTTGTTTGGCACTTTTATTTCCTTGTGCTGCATTCCCCAGTGTCCTAGCCAGAAGATCCCTGTGTAGGTATGTGAATGTGTGAAAGCTGCTGGAAAAGGCACTGAATTACTCTATGGGGTGCAATGTCCAGCCCAGAGAGGACCAGCCCCTGTTATCTTATGGGGGCTAGAACTAAATGATCTTTAAGGTCCCTTCCAACCCACATCATTCTATGACTCTGTGAACTTTGTGTGCGTTTTTGGCAACACAGTTCCCATCCTCAGTCATTTCCCAGCTATATCCAAATCCGTTTCAGATTCTGCCCCAATGCTAACAGTATTGACATGAGGCTGCCAAATCAATCCAGTGGCTTAGGAGGTAATTGAAATCTGCTCCTCCCTGTGCCCTGTAATCAATGGGAAGCAGTGTCTAGTAGGCTGCTATTAATTGGAGGGAGACTCACAGCAAATGGTTTGCTAATTGTATCGTGAGCCATCCCAGGTTCTCACCAGTGAATGCTTCCCTTGCTGCTCAGTACAGCCTGGGCCTGGGGGTCAGGTTTGATCCCTGTGAACTGCTTGCCATTCAGACAAAGTTGTTCCAGTGTGGGGTAAGCACTGCACAGGGGACACAAACACCTTGTGCTCTGTCATGGGCAGTGCAGAGGGACCAGGATGCTCAGGTAGCTGCTAGAGAGGGAATGAAGTTAAAATTTGGTGTTAAATAACAGTCCCTGTTTCTTCTAAGATGGAGGGCAAATGTTCCATCTCAGGAGAAAACCTGTCCTAATACAAAGGTGGCTGAAGTCTCTGCAGGTGAAGGATGGAGCAGTGATGAGAGCTGGAGCACGGGAAGCAGGAGCTGTGTGCAGTGGCAGGTGCCTGCAGAGCAGCAGGAGCTTAACAGGGCTGTGTCAGTGTCAGGACTGGATCTGAGCAGGAAAATTAATGCTGCTTCTAGTGTCTCTCTCTTGCTGTGGGGACCTGCTGGGGGTTAGCCCAGTAGCCTTTCTCTCATGGAGCAGTAACACCCCCTTGAGCTGCCTTACAGCATATGAAAGAGCTGAGTGGCCATGGCACCCCTACTGGCTCTCAAATTGGCTCAGATTTGGCCAGTGGATTCAGAAGTTGTTAGCTGGGAACAGGCAGCTGGACCCCTGCTGTGCTGCCGAGCTGGCCTCGTTTCTCTGGCAAGGCAGGCTGTGAAAAAGGGGGAAAAAAAGGACAATTGATGTTTCTGGAGCTGAGCAGAAAAGCATTGGCAGTTCAGTGAAACACCTGAAAAAGTCTTTCCAAACCTGTGAGGAAACAGAGGGGAAAATGCACCCCAGCCTTTTCTGGTTCTTCCACTGGGACATGAGCAGAACAAAAGTGGAGATGAGAAGCAAACCTGTTGTATTGACTTTTCTTATGTTGTTCCTAGCTATTAAAAATCGTGAAACGGGGAAATTCATTCTAAGCGAAGACAACTATGTGCCAGACTCTAAAGTATTTATTGACATGGGTGTGGAGTGGGAATATCGGAATGACGACGATAGAGAGACGGTGCAGACCATGGGGCCACTGCGTAATGGGATAGTTATTCTGGTAAGTCAAGTGGAAATCATCTCCCACAGAACACAGTGTCAGGGTTACAGAGCGATAATGGGCTATAACAGAATTTAGATTCCTCTTGTGAGTTACAAGAAGACATCTGCTTCAATTATAAGACAATAGAAGATGTATTTTAATTCCTTTCTCCTAATTCACCGCTCTGTACAAGAGTTGTTATAACCCAGAGTTGTGTGTTGAGCAACCAGCTCTCCTGATTATTTCCTGGGAATGGCCTAGCAATTGGCCAACTGTGCAAAGACTTCCCAGCTCACTTACCATGTCTGACATGTGAGCATTAGTTTAAAAAAGGTCAAAGTGGTTCGTATCAGCTCGATTTGATAGCTCCTTCTCCCACCAGTGTTTGAAAATGTATCCTGCACAGGCAGATGCAGAATTCTTGTGCTTCAAGGCTCTCTCTGTCAGGGCACAGCCAGTTCCACAGTTCCCAAAACCAGCCAACTCTATTCTTTTTTTCACTGCAAGCCAGCAAATGATAGACAGCAATTTGTAGGGGTAAGCTGATTCAGAATCCCTCTGAAAACAGCTGTAATGTGTCCATCTACACCAGCTGAACTTCAAAGGAGGAATAAATATGTTTCCAAAGGACCAATATTTTGCACTTTGTTCACATTGAGTTCTGTTTTCTTGCATTTGTCTTAGTGCAGTGTCATAACCAAACCTCTTTCTAAATAGTTTATATTTCTGTCAAGATTGAATAACAAGCTTTGCAGAATTCCCAGGATTATTATAAAAATATTTGTGATTTATCAGAAATATATGTAGTTTTCTTCACCGCTTTCAGTTATCTCTGCAGTTGAATTTGCTTTGTCTTTTGGTGGAACTATTCATTATCATTTTAGTACAAAATTTCCTTCCTTTATGATGGGATATGGAAAAAATTTAATATCATGAAGTCAGTCCAATGCTGGCAAGAAAAATAAGTCTAAATTAACAACAGTCTTTCTTAATACGCAGTTTAGAAACTCTGTGTCAAAAGGATAGAGAGACTTTTTCATCAGGGAAAAAACAAATGTGTTGAGTGCAGCTAAAAGGTTTAAATCCCTCCAGGGATGTTTTTATATCTGAGTCATGATGTTCACTATTTCATGTCATCTCACATAGCTTCTGATATCAATCTTTCATATCTTTTTTCCTTACATCTGTTTTGCTTACTAGGTGATTCCTCATGGTGGTGCCAAGATATCTTTGACTTACAAGTACATGATCCATGAAGATTCCTTGAATGTAGATAACAACAATGTTTTGGAAGTGGACTCAGTGACATACGAATGGGCATTGAAGAAATGGTCCCAATGTTCAAAACCTTGTGGAGGAGGTAAAAACAAACCCCCAGACCATTCAAAATTGAGTTGTTCCCATGAGATATTAGGGAGACCAGGGGTTTGAGATGGGTTTTATTTAAGTAATGGATAAGTCAATAGCAATGGAGTTAATATCTGACTTACATGGTTTGGGGGCAGATCTGGGATGGCTCATATCTGATTTATGTTTATGAAACTGAAAAATAGGACAAATGTGCAAGATTTGGATGAGGGTCTCCAAGCTGTGAAGGTGCTAAACCTGAAGGTGCCATGGGGCAGCCCTTAGTAAGTCTGCCTGTATGTGGACCTTGCAATGTAAGACCCCTGCTTTTGGGGCCTGTTGCTGTTCCCCAGACTGATGGTCAGGTTGCAGCACTGGAGTGTGGTTGGGCAGGTTTGCAGAACATTTTCAAAGTATTAGATGTTCTTCTCTTCATAGCCTGTAGTGAAAAATGAAGGGGATGAGCAATTCTGCATGTTAAATTTACATAAGTAAGTGTTTATTTGGTGCAGTCTACAGTTCCTTTGGTAGCATGTTCACCTGTAGTTTCTACTGTAGTCTTGTGTGTGCAGTTTGTTTGAAATGCAAGTCCTGTGTGAGATCTACCAGCACTGAGAATGAGAGGAGTGTCTTTCCCCAGGCTACCAGTTCACAAAGTATGGCTGCCGGAGGAAGACAGACCACAAGATGGTTCATAGGAGTTACTGCGAGTTGATCCCAAAGCCCAAGCCCATCCGCAGGGTGTGCAACCTCCAGGAGTGCTCCCAGCCCATGTGAGTATCTCTGCCCACCAGCACTGCTTCCTGGCAGCTGCAGGAAGCATCACAGAATCTTAGAATTTAGGGCTTGGAATGGACCTTACAGATCATCTGCACCCAACCCATTGCCATGGGCAGGGACACCTCCCCACCAGAACAGGTTGCTCAAGGCTCATCCAGCCTGGCTTTGAACACCTCCAGGGTTAGGGCAACCACCACTTCCCTGGGCAACCTGTGCTGGTGTCTCACCAGTCTTACAGTAAAAAACTTTTTTCTAATATCTAACCTAAAATTCCCCTCCTTCAATTTGAACGTGTTACCCCTAGGAACCTGCAGTTCCTAACACAGAGTCCCTCTCCAGCTCCTTGTAGGCCCTTCAGATAGTGAAAAGTTGCTCTGAGGTCTCCACAAAACCTTCTCTTCTCCAGGCTGAACAGCCCCAAATCCCTCAGCCTGTCCTCACAGGGGAGATGCTCCAGTCCTCTTAGCAGCTTCATGGCCTCCTCTGGGCTTGCTTCTACAGTTTCATGTCCTTCTTAGGTTGAGAGCACCAGAACTGTGTGCAGTATTCCAGGTGGAGTCTCACAAGAGCAGAGTAGAGGGGGAGAGTCACCTCTTTCGACCTGCTGTCACACTCCTTTAGATGCAGCCCAGGATTGGGTTGGCTTTCTGGGCTGCTAGTGCACACTGCAGCTCACTGGGAATTTCACAATGATGTGGGCATCACATCCAGCTAGCACTTGTCACCTGAAAAAAGGTGGCTTAAACTTCTCCTCCCTGCATCATTACAGAGACCTAGGACTGCAAGATATCATGCTGTATTCTGCTTGTAGACATACTCTCTGTGGGACTGCTGGTTCCTATTACTTATGAAATAAGTTGGATTAGAAAAGAAATGCTGTCTTGATCCAGACATTTGTGTTCAGGCCATCTTGAGGTAATGCAAAATAGACATAAATTCAGTTTATAACAGTTGAGTTTACACAGTGTGAATTAACTATGTCAGAACAAATGTACTGAGTGCTACATGAGAAAATCAGTGTCATCCTGGCTCTCAAATCCAAATCTTCCTAAAGTTTGCAGCATATTTTTGGACATTTAAACATGGGGAAAATATTTGACCTGTTAGATTTCTCTGGCTGCCCTTGTACAGCATGATATGCCTGTTTTACCTTCATCTTTGCTCTACATAGTCAATGTTATAAATATTTTAACTCACATTTTACAGGTGATTTTTTTTCAACTGGCAGCAGGTTATTGCTGCCACATGTAGGACTTGCATATTCTTTGTGTTGCTACTGCAACAAGAAAGGAGTATGTTGATCCCAGCTTTTATCTCTGGGGACCAAGTATAGATTCCAGGAATCACAGCAAATAAATTAAACATACCACACAATATTTCCTAACTTGCTTTCAAAAAAAGATTTGAAAGAGAGAAAAGGCAAGAAACTGTGCCCCATAAACTCAGCATGGGTCAGGGTTTAACGTTTATTTATTGGAAAACTGAAGTAATGACCTAACTGTATCTTAGGCTCTCTGGAAAGGACTATATTCTCCTTTCAGCTGCAAATATAATTGGACCCAGGTACCACAAAGACTCAATAGGATCCTAAATTGTACTTGGACTCCTGAAGTTTCAGTCACTTCTGTTTCCATAGAATGTCATTGGAGCATTTTGCTCTTGTACCTAGGAGAGGCAATTATTTAAGGGGTTTTATGAAGCTCTGTGACACCCACTACACTAATATGCTGCTTCTTCACTGCTGGGAAAAACTCATCTTTGTCTCAGAAGTCACCCTAGGATTCATGGCTTTGTGCTCCACAGCACTTGCCTTTCTCCACAGCTGGGCAATTTCAGTAGGTTACAAAGAGAAAGTTGGGTGAAATCGCCACTTTTTGTTTAACTGGAGTGTGTAGTGCAGTGCTGTTTCTTGACTGTTTCTAAACCCAGGATTTTATGAGTGCTTTAGGACAATTCCTTCAATCTCAGGGTTTTCTTCAGATTATGTACATTTTTTGGTTAAGTTTATCCCATGAATTCTGTTTACATGGAACAATACTTCCATCTCTGCAGTCTGTAAATATTTATAGACTGCTGTATATCTTTGCTTATTTAATTATAACCAAGCTTTGAATAGTCTACATAAATGTCTTCTGGTCCTGTCTGTCCCAGTTGCTCTTCACTAAGTTCCTTGCGATCTGTAGTTGTAATTCATGAGCTGGTTTGGGTTATCAGCAAGGTTTTGAACCACACCACATTACAAACCACAGGTTGCATTTTTCAGTGGCCAAACTGATTTACACATCATGAACTTGGACCTTCTGGTTTTCAGTGGAAGTGTTGCCTTCGCTGAAAGCAAACATTGATGATGCTGAGGACCCTGATTTGCCCAAGCTCAGCACATACAGCACTGGGTAATGGAACTGGGTTTGCCAGTGCTTCAGGAGATGGTGTCTAACTTGGCCAGAGATATGTTCCATTGAGTGCCCAGATATGGGCCAGGCTGGAGCAGCATTTCTAGCCCAGATGTTTTGGCTTCACTCCTATGTGAACCAGCTGTGGGGATGGCTGGTGCATGCTGCATTATGAGACAAGGCACATCTCATGCACTGAGACCTGGGAAGCTCAGCAGCACCATGGGTGGCTGCTTTTGACATAGAAGTGACTGTATCTTCATGTGCAGTGGTGGAAAGGCCAGCTTAAAATCAAAGCCATGTAGCAAAGTAAGAATAATGCTCATCTCAGTGATAATGAAAAAAAATAATATTAAAGATCTGGGTCTTATTCATGATATTTCAGGGGCATGATCAAATAACCCTCACCATAACTGCTTATGGTTTTTCATATCTTCTTCTTTTTCCATATCAGAACTAGCACGAACATCCTTTTAACCTGTGTCTAAGAATTGCAGATCAACAGTTTGAACTCACCTAATGTCAGAGAGAATTTTACTCAACTTTCTCTCTTTTCACCAACCCAGATGGGTTACAGGAGAATGGGAAACTTGCAGCAAAACTTGTGGGAAAACAGGGTATCAAGTTCGATCTGTGCGATGCATTCAGCCTCTCCATGATAACACCAATCGGTCTGTTCATACCAAGTACTGCAACAACAACCGCCCGGAAGGCAGGAGACCCTGCAACCGGGAGCTCTGCCCTGCCCAGTGGAGAATAGGACCATGGTCACAGGTCAGTCTCTCATAAAGTCTCAAGCAGCTAATTTCTGACTGGGTGGAATAGGTATCACAAGCAATGCTGTCTCTGGTATCGTGAATAGATGCCTCACTTTTGCACTTGTTTCTTTATTGCTCAGAGCATCAGCTCTTTCTTGCAGTGTTTCACAATTACTGGTGTACCACAAGGAGCAGTGAGTAGTTCTCTTCTTGCTTAGTTACCGTAGGTGCTGTCATGGTTCAAATAATTCACCATAGCAGCTCAGATCAAGGGCAGTGGTTTAAAATTTAGATGCTAATTTTTAATTGTTTCCAAAGGGTGACTGGGGTCTAACTGCTGCATGTCCTTTCAGTGCTCTGTCAGCTGTGGCAATGGCACACAGGATCGCCCGGTGCTGTGCCGGACCAGGGACAATGCTATTGGCCTGTGTAAAGAGAATAAACCAGAGAGCGTAAGGATTTGCAGACTACCTCCGTGTCCAAGTAAGTGTTTGTCTTCTATAGCATATATCACTTGTTGAAAAAAAAATGATGTTGGTTGTATTTATTTGAAATGCCTTAATTGAATTTATACTGGTGTGCTGCATCTGCTTGGGGGGGACAGTTCTCCATCATCCCTATTTTGAGTGGACTTTCCAAATGTAGAGCTGTTGTGTGGCCGATGAGCTTCTTGGGCATGTGGTCAGTCTCTTCTCCTGTTAGGGAGCACCACTTGCTTCAGAACAGCATGAGAGGCTGGGGCAGACCTCAGTACAGTGGTGATGGCTGGATCTGGCCATCAGCTGACAGCTGCCCTGGGTGAGGAGCTGAGTCCAGCCCTGTGCCTCTGACACCTGCAGAGCTTGGCAAGAGGCTGCTGGGGGAGGGTGTCATGTACAAAGATGCCTCTTTGCTTTCCCCATCTCAGTCAACAGGCTTCTTTTCCATTCTGTCAAACACAAGTTATCTGCAGAGTTTATCTAACTCCTTTTTTAAAGTTATAATTAATTTGTTCCTGCTTAAGCCAGGACAATAAGGCCTTTATCCTTGTTAGCTTCTCAGCTGTTTGCAAATGATACTTGTGAGATCATTTTATATATTCCTATTATTAAGTAATTCATATTTTTCTTTTCTTCCTGATGTATCTCTCAGGGTAGCTTATGATTCCTAATTAATTAGAAGCAAGCTGTCAATTATGGTCTCCAAGACAAAGATTTTAACAAGGCAGTATAACTAGCATGTCTCTGAGGACATACACAAGAATTGCTGCTGGAGAACTGGCCTTCAGACAGACTTTGGTGTCAAGTGCTGGGTAGGAGTTGTAGCAAACTCTCCAAACAGCACCACAAATTTGCTCACACAGCTTGGTCGTAATCCTTCCCTGGGCTTCTTCACCATTGGAGCCCACTCACTCTCTTAGCTTATCCCCTCCTGACAGGGCAATTATTTACTGCTGTCTAACATATGTTGTGTTACGTCTTTTTTCCCCCTCTATTCAAGGAAACGTTTCTGATCCTTCAAAGAAAACCTACATGATACAATGGCTGTCAAGACCCGATCCAGACTACCCCATCCAGAAAATATCTTCAAGTAAAAGACCCATTTATAACTCTGCCTTTGCCCTTAAATGCATGCCACATCGAATGTGGACTTTGCCTTTTGCTCTCTTCTTCTCTCTATGCGGAAAGTTCCCTTGACTTTGCCAAGTTCAAATCTTGGGCTGAATCTGTTTTTTCACACCAGGCACTTGGTGCTCGGTGTCTTTCTTCTCTGGAGCTTGCGTAGCACTGGTGGTGGAGGTCTTGAAGTGTTGGATGTGTGAAGTTGGATCTCCACAGTATGTTGCAGTCCTCTGAAAGGGAGCTGGGATCGGTTTGCTTGTTGCTTGGTGATGGTGAAAAAAGGCTCTTACTGGTTCCTGATGTTCAGTTTGATAGAAAAACTGAGAACTTATTGTGAATGTGATCACATCACAATAATGACACCTTGTAGTGCTAAAGTTCTCCTTTATCTAAAACCCGAAATCTTGTAACTCTCTGGTTTCCGTTCGCTGACAGGGTAGTCTGATGAGTGGAAGAATTTTTTCATTCCATTTTCCTTTGCGGTGCTGTTGCTTTCCTCACCCTTCCTGCTCATTTTTTACTCCTGACCCTCACATTTACATTTGTAACCCGTGGAGGGCTCACTGGGAAGGAGAAGCTGAGTTTCTGTCAGCACTTTCCGTGCTGCTATGATGCCGTCCGCTCTCACCAAACTCCTGGTAGTGGTTTGGTGTGTTTTTTTTCTTGAGAGAAGCTGCATTAATTTTTCCCATCGCACAATTTTTGCCAGTTTTGTGTACTTTAACTTTAGAAACAAACCTGAAGCAGAACAGGCATGGGCCGTGTTGAAGGTTGCGTGGTGGTGTTTTTCTTATCGTGGCGGAGGCAATATGATGTTTTCATTGACTATGATGTCTCCAGCTGCTCAGCATGGAGCTGTTTATACTCATTACATCTTCGGTCTTTTTTCACCATGTGCATGTCTGACTTGACTGGTATGGTTGTATGTGTGTGTGTGTGTATGCTCTTAGATGTGTCAACTGGCAAACATAACAGTGTGAACTACTACAGAATTACCTCAATTTTTATTGCTTTTTTTTTTTTTTTGCTTAGAAGAAGAATTTTAGAAAAATGCCTTAATGTTGAAATGTAAATGGCATTAATTTACCAGATCCAGCTTTAAATATGAACAGTACACTGGTACCTTGAGTTAATCTTCATATGGAGTGTTTTTACTTGAATGATAACTATTGGAAGGCAGTGCATTTAATTGGAGGTTAATTTGCACAGTGCATATCCATATCTTCATCAGGACAGGATTGTGGCCTGACTTACTGAAATTTAAGTGGCATTTGTGCTTCACTTTCCGTGTTTGTGTTGAAGATTTGGAATTCACAAGTCATAAACTTGTTTGTGACAGTCAGTACCAATAGTAGAAATGTATCAACTGTAAAACTGCAGTCTTGGAGCAAATTACTACCTTATTGCTTTGATCATATTTTTTGGAAAAAGTGGCATTTTTGAATCTTTGGGTCGTCAACAGTGTAGCACTTCAAACTTGTCATTATCATGTGATCACATATTTAAATTTTGCTGTTAATATGATAATTTCCTGAGACATGTTAACAATTTACATGACAAGGTGAAAAAAGCAAAGACACGTATCTGGCACTGAATACTGTTATGTAAAATAATCGGTGTTTAACTGTATAAATATATTCATGACTGTTACCTTTAAATAGACAATGTTTAGTGATGTTTCAAGAGATGGGTGGCTATAGAGAATGGTGCAATAAGGTATCTGGGCATTGTGCACTATGTCTATATGCACTTTGGTTTATCAGGGATATTTTATTAGTGTTTTGTATGTATTTAACATAATATTAAAGATGTGCCAATTCAGTTTGCTTTTCAATATTTTTTTATGAGACTAATGTGTACCAAAGTGACTGTGAAACTGATTTATTTTTTTCTTACTGATGTTTTGAATATATACTTCCAGTCTGTCATGCATACTGCAACTAAAAATAAATAAAAGTTCAGCAAATCTGGATATTTTGGTTTGGATAGAGGATCAAAATTTCATTCTGACATTCAGAAGTTGCAGAGTTTATTTATATAACTTATCAGATGTCACTAAACTTATTACATAACACAGGTTTATTTCCATGTGCTTTTAAGCTTGGCATTGCATATTTTTGATAGGAAAAAAGAGGCATTTTTCTAAAGGTGCTTTTAGTGATTCTTACAAAGCCAAGAACAGACCTGACTTGTTGAAACCACATTTAAATGTTGTATCTGTTGGCTTTTATTTCACAAGCCATTTGGAGAAATGTACATAAGGGTCATGCAACACAAGGCAAAATGTTCAAAGGAGACTCCTCTGAGTATGTGAAAGGGTATGTAAAGCTGTACAGGCACATACAGGACTTTGCACAGAGCTGTGCATGCAGGTATGAACAGTTCCAGCTCTTAAAGACTGGTTTGAAAATCTCTCCAAACCCGAGGTACTATTCTTAGGTTCCTAAGGAAGGAGTTGTTCCTTATTTCCTGCAGCATTTCAGTTTAGCATTTGAGAAATATGAAAATGAACTGACACATTGGAAAACAGGAATCAGAATTTTGCTTTTCTGCAACAAATGCAACAATCAGGGCATAGATGCAATGTAAGGGAGGTGTTTTCACCTTCCTCAGCCAGCACTAGCATTTTGCAGCAGCACCAGTTATTAGTATATTTTAGACTGATATGTTTGCCAATTAAACACCTCCAATGCCCTGTTTGGTTCGCTGAGGATGAGTGAAGAGGTGGCACCTACGCTTTCTGGGCTCCCTTGGTATCTCTGAATCTGCTCTGGTTCTCCCCTTTGCTGTGAGGCTGCTGACACCAGTCAGGACTCAGCAGGAGGGTGAAATGTGAGCCCCAGGAACAGGCTGAGCACACTGTGCCATCGGGGGCACTCCAAAGAAAGGCGAGGAATTGGAGTTACTCACTCTTTACAGTAAGAGGAGGTGGAAGTGTAGTAAGAGCAGGGAGAGAGACAGAGGTGATTTCATCCCTGTCTCAGCACTCTGGTCACAGAGAAAATGTTTTGCTATTGATGATGCCAAGTGTTGGTCAGTTTGCCTTTCTCCTCAGCCCTCTCCTCTGGCTCCTCTCTCAGCATGGGCTGTGTGTTGGGATTTTTCCTTCACTGCACTTCCTGGATCCATTGCTTCATCCTAGAGGCACAGGAGCTGAGGAGTATGTATGTAGGACAGAGGACAGGTAGCTTCTCTCCAAGGAGCCTGCTAACCCCTCACCATCCACCTGCCATCAATTCATACAGTCCTCTACCTCCTCTGGGCAGAAATCACCAGGGCTTGACTAATCTCTGAGCAGGCTTCTGTTTATGTTTCTCAGGCAGTAACACTATTTAATCAATTCACCTTTAATGGCTCAGCCTACATTTTGCCACCTGTATTTCAGCAAGATGAGGATCTGCTATTATACTCCTATTATACTGCAGATAGTCGTAACAGCTGTTGACAGCTTAAAGCTTATTGTTTATTGTTCTTCCTCTTTTATTACAGTTTTTCAGTGGTGGCACAAAAATTAGGACTTGTTACTGAGACTCCCAGTCATTAATGGACTGGCTTGGCTCCATCACACTGGAGTTTGTTGTTCCAAACATATCAACTCCCTTCTAGGAGGAGGAGAAAAGCCTCATACTAAATGCACTGCTTTTCTCTCCAGCAAGGGACATGCTGAGGCAATGCTGCTGTTTTCAGAGTAGAGGTACCTGGCAAAAATATCACTCCAATGGGAGATGGATTCATGCTCAGAGTTACGTGGTACACATCAAAATAAGACTGTACTTTCCTGAGACAGTCCAGATAAATATAAGTTGCCCTGACTGTGGTTAGTCACTGTTTGCAGGAAAGCATTAAAGGGAGCAAAGGGAGAAAAAAATAGATTTCCTAATATAAACCTTGATGACATTCCGGGGGTTTAATGTAGCTTCAGCAACAACACAGCACTATCACTGTGTTTCAAAGTTTAAGCCAAGGCAGGAGCTCAATTCACCACGACTGCAGAATCTTCAAGGCAGCACTTCCAGAATGTGAGGCCAGAAATTCGAGCGTTACGGTCTAGAGCTTGGACAGGGCTGGTACAAAGAATTCAGATCAGCTTTTGCAGCCCTCGAAGTGAGCTGAGTTTTAGGTTTAATATTAATCCTGCTTCTGCTTATAGAAGGCTCATTTGCCAGTTTCCCAAACCACTTTAAATATCAAACCCTCTGCCCACTGCCAAAGCTTCAGCTGTGTTTCTTTTTCTGAATAATGCGAAGATGCTCTTTATTTATCTGTTCCCTTTTTCTCTTTCAGAAGATCATTGTCAAGGAGACAAGTCAACGTTTTGTCGCATGGAAGTTCTGTCTCGTTACTGCTCCATTCCCAGTTACAATAAGCTGTGTTGCAAGTCCTGTAATGTGTACAGCAACACAACAGCAGATGCCAACGTAACTGATGCTAATGTAAATAAGAATAATATCATTGAGGAGGAGCTCCTGACAACCCTCAGCCCTCCCACGGGAGTGTCCACCACACAGTCTGCTACCAGCTCTCCTCTGGTTTCCAAAACACGCTCACCCCCTTCCAATGCCACTGAGGAGCACCCAGAGATCAATGCAGTGGATGTTCCCTATAAAGTTGATGGGTTGGATAACGAAGTACCACAGCACAACATCATTACAAGGAGGAGGATGACTTATGAAAAGACAAAGAATAAAAGAATTCAGCAGCTGATTGCTGAGAAAATAAAAAGAGAGACTCTTAGGAAAAGAAACTAAAATGGAAATATGGCACAACAACATTTTTCTCTTATAGAGATGTTACCAACATCATAGTACTGCCCATGTCGTAGAGACTAAAAATGAGGAAAAAATCAAAGTGGTGCTATGGCAGAGATGCCAAATTCTCAAGCCTACTAGAAATGAAAATGGCAGATTGTTTTGTAAGTGCTAATCTGAACACTTTGATGGCTAGGTTAGGTGTACAGGGTACGGCAGAGTGTTAGTGCAATATCCCTACAGGGTTCCACTGAATCCAAACAAACCATAATACTTAGGCCAGGTTAGTAGTTTCTTGGTTATGGGCTCTTTTAAGTCTTCTGTGCCTGTGTAAAACTGCTTGGGAATAGTAATGGGAGTTCCACTTAGTATGGAGGAAAGCAGTGCCAAGACATAATAAATCCCTTTAACACTGACAAGCAGGTGGTCAGCAATCCTGTGATGCTTCTGTGCATTGCATAAACCCCAGCACTAATGCAGCCTGGTTCAGGAAGCTTCTTAAGGACATGCCAGACTCAGTTTGACTGACTTTGGCAGAGCTGCCTCTGTGGTCACAGCTCAGCATGTGCTCAGGCAGCTTTCTGAACCAGGCCTGCACAAGAAAATATATAGAAAATTCTGTAGCCATATATTTATGTGTAAATTAAAAACTGGCAAACAGTTGTTTACATATTTCCATAAACAATTTCAAAGGATTCTCCTAAACTTTTGGATACATACAAGACATTTAGTAGGGTAGATCTGGCCAACTTGGACTGAGAACATCCTAGTCTTTCTGTTTACAGTTATCCATATTTTTAGTAGTCTTTAAGTTCCTGAAATACAACAGCCTCAGTGATTGTTGTTGGTTGGTGCTTTGTTTATTGGTCTGGTTGTTTTTTTCCTACCCACATTCTGTTTAACTTAAAGATGACTAGATTCTTGTTGTCTTTTCTTTGGTGCTTTGTTAAGAAAAACACTTTTTTCCCCTCCATAGGATGCAGTTATTTTTGAGGAAATAATTTTGTATTATCTTCCTTTCCTTAGGACAGCTTTATTGGTGCAGAAGTGAACAACTGTTTGCTGTGCCCTTATACAAACACACACACATGTACACATGTATTCACAGCACCAGGTCTGCTAGAAACTTTAAGATGTGTAACCTGACAACCCTTTGAGTACTTCCTTTCCCCTCAGGGTCATAATGGTTTTCATAGGTCATTTTAAATTCCTGGTTGGAGAACAGAAGATGAATTCAGCTTGGCTGTAACACTGCTGAGACAGGGAGCATGAACTGGTTGGTTCCTGTTCTGGGTGGTATCTGAGCAGATTTTTTCCTGGCTTGGACTCTTCCATTTGTTTCCTCTTTGCTGGTAAATGTCCTGCAGAGCCCAGGGCTTCCCTGAAATCCTCCTTTTAGCACTAGGTAGGTCTGATGGCTCCTAGTTCAGATTTTCCAGTCTGAGAGCAAGATCTCATCCTCCAGCCTGAGCTGGTCTTGGTTTGACTCGACGCCAGCAATAAGCCTGTGCATACAGGCACACAGCTATTGGGAATGCTCTGCATTTCCAGCAATGTCTGAGCTCTTCTCTGGCCTGGCTGCTGGCAAAGAGCTCCACAGGTATTGCAAGGTGAACCCTACATGGCTGAATGAGCTGCCCAGTTCCTCTTCCAAACAAG